GTACAAGCCTGGTTGCTGTGTCTTCTCTGAAAAAGAAAACCTTGAGTCAAATGTGTTTGACTCCCTGATATAACTCACAAATGTGTACCTTGAAGCAGATAACTCATAGGATGAGTTATGGCGTCAGTAATTTAGAAAACCTTCATTTAGCCTGGAAAAATACTTTTTTGTGGTATATTTACCCTCCTTAAAGCTAGGACTTCTTACTATTTGTTTATTTTCAGCTCTGTAGCCAGGTTGAGAAAGAATCAGGGCTTTATTGAACCCAGCCACAAATAAAAATTTCACCATTAGAGAGAAAATCATTCAAAATCATCCCATTAGCATGCCATTATGCGCAGCAACTATAAATATTATTATTACTGTATAGACCAATGTTCAACCTTTCTTTTATCTCAAAATTTCTTAAAAGGGTAGCTGTAAAATAGCTAATTAATTATCTGCAGAGGAATGGTTTATTTGAAGCATTTCAGTCAGAATTCATCACCGTAAAGAAAGTGCACAAGTGAAGGCTAAAAAAAGATCTTTTTATGGCCTTGGACAGTCTCATCTCTATGTATTTACTGTTAAACTTCACATGATATTTTAGTACAGAAATTAGAACAAGCCACTTTATTGTTTCCCAAGGGGGCAATTAAAAAGAAACATTGAGCATCACATGAGACACAGAATAACAAACAAACAGCACTGTGGTGCAGTGGTTTGATTCATACCTATTTAACAGAGTCCAATTTCTTCATGTAAAAGGGGAGTCTTCTTCACACACTAACATTAATCATAAAGTTTCACAAGGCTCTCTGGTGGGACCAATTCTATTTACATTATCCATACTTTCTTTAATCAGAATCAGAATACTTTATTAATCCCGAAGGAAATTAGGGCTACAGCAGGCAGCACGCTAATGGCGCATGCGCACTTACAAGGTCTGGGATACATTTTCATTGCTATGCAGATGATGCCCAGCTTTATTTATCCATGAAGCTAGATGACATACACCAACTAATTACCAATTATGAAAAGACATAAAGACATGGAAGACTACTAAATTTCTATTTCTATATTCAGATAAAACTGAGGTGACTGGCCCAAAAAATCTTAGAAATGTGGTGTAACAAGATACTTACTCAGGGTAGCATTATCTTGGCAACCAGGAACACTGTGAGTCCTTTTTGACCACGATATCTCACTCAGTGTGCATATTACACAAATATGTAGAACTGCTTTTTTGAATATCTCTAAAATTAGAAACATCCCGTTTCAAAGTAATGTTTGTGATCTCAAACTAGTTCGTGTTTTTATTACTTCTAGGTCGACTATTGTAATTAATTATCAGGTTGTTCTAAAAACTCCCTGAAATCCCTTCAGTTGATTCAGAATGCTACAGCAAGAATACTGACAGGGACCAGAGAGAGAGACCATATTTTTATCATATTAACGTCTCTTTAAGACAGAAACCCTCTACTTGCAATCCTACTTTGAACCCTCCCTTTGTTACACTGCAATAGGCCTAGCTGGGGTTTCCCATGGTGCACTGAGCATTTCTTCCTCATTCACCTCTTTTCACACTTTCTGTGTATTCATATGCCACTTTTTTTAGTCATTAGCTATTATTACACTCTGGCTCTCTTACACAGTCTGTCTTTTTTTTTTTTTTACTGTCTCCCCCCTCTAACTCATTTGATTGTAGGAGTCTTTTCTCTACTGTAGGGCCTTTATTTGTAAGACCCTTGAGGCAACTCTTGTAATGATTTGACAATATATAAATACAACTGAACTGAAATGAATTGTGTATTGTAATTCATTATTATCAGGATGTTAAAAAAAACCTCTCTGAAAAGCCTTCAGTTCATTGAGAATGATGCAGCAACTATACTGACGGGCACTAGAAAGAGGTTCCTTTTTAAGAACACAGTTATGTGTCATTTTTAAGAGGTTTCTTCCTCCTAAAAAGGACAAAAGACATATCCAAAGAAACAGATTCGCAAATTCAATTGTCCAGCCAGTTTTCTTTAGTGCTGCTGTAGCATGAGTTGTGCAGAGGGTGGTATTCATGTGGCTTTATGTACAATAAATAAAAGGTTGCTCAATGACATTTTTTCCACCACAGCTTCAGATGCCCTTCTTCACATGCCCCACCCCCCACCCCCTCAACTCACCACAGCCAAGTACACTGCACTTACCACAACATTTTGACATTTAGTCAATACTATACTTCAGAAGTCTTTTTTGTAAATAACTATTTTTAGTTCCATTTATAAATAGTCAAAGATTTAGCACCACCCTCTTTGGTGAGGGGTGAGGGAAGACTTTTGCTCCATCACGCATAGTTAGAAAAGAAATGTTTAAAATTAAATTCAGTTTGTCAGGTGGTGTTAGGTGTTTCCAAGTGTCTGCCAGATGGCCAAACAAAATACCTTTTGCTAACATGTTCACCATACTAACTGCACAGAATCATGATGACATGATGATGATTTTGTACAGTCATAATGACTTATTGTGGCTGTTCATTTTTTAGTCTGTTTTCTCAGAATGCTGTCTTCAGCAGGCTGAAGAATTTTCATTCATTAGTGCTGAAGCAAAGGATCCAAATAAAGTATTGTTCATATCACAATTCTACCACTTTGTAACAACAAACAGCGATAAAAGAGGGGTCTGTGCGTTTGACTCGGTGGGGTTAGAAAAATAAAACTATAAAAAGAAGATAATGAATGAATGCATGAATCAAATAATGTGACTTTTTAAAGGATTTGTTTAAAATTAAAACGCAGGTCTCATTTACCGGCATTACAGAAATATATAAAATATTCTCGTTTAAAATAATAATAATAGTAGTAATAACAACCTCAAAATGTAAACTCATTTCTAAGTAGTATTCTCATTTTTCACTTACAAAACATTGTGATTTACATCCTGACCCTTAAAGCCACGATGCTGAGGTAGTAGCATTAAAGGTCAGCTGCTTCTTGTGAGTGGTCGTGTTATTTTAGGTCATATGTTTTAGTTTTAAGCTAAAATCAGCAGTGGTCTTTGTGGATGCAGAGCCAATTCATGACACAGCGCACACATTACAGCCAGGAGGACAATAGGCCTCTTTATGAGGAAGCACTTGCACACGTACGCACATATACATATACACACTGCTATGTTTAAACAGGTGGGCAGAAAATTGAGTGGTTAGCTAGGTGGGTGTGTGCGTGTATGTGCGTGCACGTGTGTGTGTTTCCCTGGGTGTTAGCTGTGTGTGAGGAGTTTGGTTATTAAAAGGAAAGGAATGGATATTGCATATGTGTGTTTAGGCTTGGCTGGCCTCCTAGGAATACATACCATGGTGACACTAGCAGTGCCGAGACCAGCAGAATTCCTTCTTATAAAAATAAGCATCATGGAAAAAGAGAAGAGAGAAAAGGAGGAAGAAAAAAGACAGGAAAGAAACAAAAGAAATGAATAGTGTGCATAATGGACATCTATGCAAGAAAACCACAAAAGGATGAGTGTTATGAGTGTCTGACCCAAGTGTTCTCATTTTGACCTAAGCTTGGACTGTCAGTCATAAGATTGCCACAATTTGATTCATATATAGCTAAAGGGGATTTATTATGCTTTTCCTGATTTTCTGTTATGTACACGTTGCTGCAGTGGTTAATGTTTATATTAAACATAGCAAAGGAGTCATATTCTTATAACCCAAAAGCACAGGCTTCAGACTGCTTTAGACTGTTTTCTCATTTTGGCTCTGTATGATGTCACTGAGAGTTGATAGCCTTCATATGGTCATCTCAGACACAACAGCACCACCCAGAAGTTGCATAAACCTTGTGTTAATAAGAGGCAGTTAACAAGAAAATTATCAGGTAAAATTGCACCAAGACCCGGCATAAAATAAAAGGAGGATTAGTTTGAACTGTGACTTATGCAAAGTAAAGTCCAATAATAAAAATTATACACAACTGTGTTCTTCTTCATTACAGTTCATCAGCCCAATAATAATTATGTCTTGTGTTGAAAAACAAAAATTAGCACCTCTTTGTCTCACAATTACTGCTTTCAGGTGTACAGATTAGAGTTCTCCTCACAGCCTCCTCCCATCCTACGGTTAAAAAAATTACAGACTTGATGCAGCAAAAAGATGCCGGTACGGGAGTGGACCAAGTCTTGTTTTTAACTGCTACTGTTCAAATTGGGAAGTAGGCACAAGTTACATGCAGACATACAGATGGAGTTCAACTTTAGGGAAGTGACTAATTTCATGAGGTATGTTTAATTTGGTGACGGCTGTCAAAAAGAGGAAGCAGGAGACTAGATGACGCTTTGCGTCAAGTGCTTAGCTAGCAGTGCAAATACATGCTAACTGGCTCTGGTCAGTAACAGAAAACAATGTTCTTTCTCAATAGTTCTTCCAGAAGATGCAGTGACATCCTTATGTCTCTACCACAGCACACCCAGCACACACATATACTAGTCACCTTGAGCTGATGTATCCATGATTGCTATTTTTATGTAATGCTGAGATGCAACTTTTAGGTGCAAATAGAAAAGAAACAGCAGCCTTTTGAAAAGGCTTCCATTGTGTTTCAGTGTTTTAGTGACCCATTCATAGACTGTGAATAAAAGCTGGTTAACATACCTAATATGATATCACTCATTTGTTTGTGGAGTCTAATTTTTAAGCTTCAGACTTTATGTGGTTTTGATGAAAAACCAAGAGCACTGCGTACTCATATGGTGGGAACCTGTCAATCACAGGTTAGCCACGCTCACACTGTGTCTTAATTATCTATTTTACTGTTAATGGGACCATAGTTTATAAAGTGAATATCGTGCAGAATTCAATATCACGTAACACTAACAACTGAGATCACAAACAGGATAATGTTTACCAAAGCTGAGTCCACACAGGAAGTCATTTCCCATCGCTCATCACTTTGAAGTTGACTTTTGGTCTCTTGTGGACATTCCAGGCTTCAGTTGCCTAGGTAACCCTGTAATGTATTTACCGCTAGCTCATATGTCAGTCAGTATTCTGCGCTGCTCACTGGCAGTCATTTCAGTGACTTCATATTGGGTCCTGTCTGCAGTTATTTCAACTGTATTTATTTGAACTTGCATGTGATTCTCTTGTTTTGGTCACCACATTGCTGCAAAATGCTTCCTGTGTGGACACGGCTTTGAAGACAGAAAGTAAGTGAGAAGCAGGGTCATTTTCTCATAGGCTTTGTGGCCCCTTGTTGGCTATTAGAGAAAATGCAGGTCTATGGCACTGTACTTAACTTTTAAGACCGAGAATCTGTGCCCATCTTTCATGTAAAGTCTGAGGGTTCTACCAAAGACCTTTGAAGCCCACCTTGTATTGCGGGTGGGGTCAGGTTTTGTTGGTTCCAAAACTTAAATGCAAAGAGGAGACAAAACCAATGCTAATTGCAAGTGTGGATGATTATTTTGCTTATACGTGAGAATGTAATGTAAACTTGCAACACATAATCAATATTAAATACTTTAGGAAACCAGCAAGAAAACCATCACACAGAAACAGCTCAAGGCTACCCATACAACAACAATTGAATTGCAGTTGTAAATTATATCAAGTGCTCCATTACTCCATCTTTTAGAGAATACAAGCTATATAAAAATTCTCGATCAAAGACAGATATATAATCTCTAATCTCTAGTGCCTTGATTATACTCTGTTGCAGACACAAATACAGATAGCTGAAGACCCAACCAACGAGTGCTTGTACCTGTTATACATTTCTGAAGTCTGCTTGAAGTTCACCACCTGGGACACACGCGTAGTTGGTGGACTGCAATGTAAATTCTCCACAAATGGTCTAGACCTTCTCTCACAGTAGCTGATGATGAAATTTATCTCAATCAAATCCTAGCAGACCCGAGCAAACTCATAGATGTGGAAAATACAAACAAGGCTTAAGATGAGGCCATTACAATTATCTCTGAACTAATAAAGATTAATAATTTTTTGAATAACGAATATGAAAATGTGTGATCAGTGAATCATAATACAAGTATTTGCTTTATTAATCCAGGTAAGACTATGAAAACATTTTATTCTGTACAGCAACTACATGTGAATACATATAAGATGCTAAAAATGCTTTCAGCAATACACTGAAACATCCTGAAACAACAAGTAACATCATCTGTATGATTCAAAGACATATTAAAAGACTTGCTGTCTGGTACAAAACATGGAAACTACAGGGGGAAGTTATGACAGGAAACAGTGTGGTAGACACTCTTCTCATCACGAAAAAACACATACAAGGATTATACATGCAGACATGCAGTTACAGCTCAACTCTTATAGCAATAAGAAGTAGATGGACAGGACAAGGAAGTGGAAGTAAAAGAAAATAACACCTGAATGCATGCAGGTGCATTCAGAAAGGACTGTATTTCTACCAAATTTACGATATACCAACCTATAAATAAATGTTAAAAAAAAAAAAGGTGAACGACATCATCTGGTATGTGGCTTGAGATCCATCAATATGCCTCTGATCAAATACGCTCATCAATATTATGAGCCGTTGCCTGGATACAGTTGGACGGGAACACGTGTGAGAATATACAGACGAGTATTCATCATCTTTTGGCACACTTTTAGGTGCACAGAAGAAGAAGGAGAAGGCTTACAATATATTCACATCAACCTCCCACAGCTGACGTGAATAAGAGACTGGAATGCAACGGGAGTAAAAAACACTGCTGAATTGCTCTGAGGGAGTAATAAATACACATTCTAACAGAAGACCTGCTGCCCCACTTCTGTCTACATTTGGTCAAACACTGGAAAGCACACACAACTATGTGTAAACACACAAAGTTAGCCTTATGACGATAATGCTATTTAGATGTAACATAAAGTTTTGAATTGTATAGTGCTGTGGCCCATTTTCAAACTCTATTTCCAGTAGTCAGTTCTGTTCAACTCTGATTAGCAAAAATTTGCACACCACACATACCAATCTTTTTACTTACCCTAAAAGGGCATTCTTGGTGCCTGTATCAGGCCATGTCTGAAACTGAAACAAATAGCAAGTAAAACCAAAAGAAAGCCACTGTTGTATGGTTTTAATGAAAGTTTATGTTGAATGGAGGGGGCATTTTAACCTGGAAAAAACTCCGGCCATGACCTCTGCTAAGCCGATGTAACAGGAATGAACACTGTTTCCCCACAGCACGTCAAACCCTGAACATTCCCGTTGTCTTCTGGTGGCCACAAGAACTCCAGTATTGATGACATGGGTTTATTTTTCACCCGTCTTTACCAGTCCTGACACAAAACCAGTAAACCAAAGAGCAAGGGAATTTTGCAAACAAGAACGCCTCACATTGCAGGCTAGCAACAGAGTGGTGTTTTTATCTGTCCTCCTCTTTAAACAGCTTCAATAAATAAAAACTTCTCACCACTTATGACGCTCGTTCTAGGCTTGGCTGTGCTTCATTGCCCAAACACCTGACATCAATCTGTACTTGTTTTACGTTAGTGGTCTTCTTCCTGTCTGGCAGCTGCGTGGTGTTTTGCATACAACAAAATCCCTTTCTAAGGTTTTAGCTAAAGTACATTGTTCAGAAAAGGCTACTTTACACAAGTATTTTTCCACTAAGGCCTACATTAGGATTTGAGCAGCAAACTTTTCAAGTTACATTTGTTAGTCTTTTATCATTAATGTTAAGGCACTATATTTTTTTTTTATGCAGGTGAATTTTAAAAATAGACAAAACTCTGTGAAATTACCTATGGTAAAACTTTCATGAGAAGATCTCTCTTTGCTGCTTTCTATTTATGTTTTTCTCACCTTTGTCTGTCCTTTCCGCCTCCCACGCCTTCCTCTCTGTGTGTCGAGCACACAATGTTCATGTTAGTTTGACTTTTTTTGTCTCATCAAAATGGCTTTCTTACACTAAGATCTGATGAAAGTCAGTAGATTTGGAGCTTTAGATGCTGCGCTCAGGGGGCTCAGGACGCATCTTTGATGACATTGCTTGTACAGTACTGTGCAAAAGTCTTTAGCCACCCTTAATTTATTCTTTTCTTTGGCATGGGTGCATGGATTTATTGAAACACATTCAAACATAAAGGGTGGGCCATTTATATGGATACACCATATTAAAATGGGAATGGTTGGTGATATTAAAGTCCTGTTTGTGCCACATTAGTATATGTGAGGGGGCAAACTCCTCATGATGGGTGGTGACCATGGTGGGCATTTAGAAATCGGCCATCTTGGATACAACTTTGTTTTTTCAATAAGAAGAGGGCCATGTGACACATCAAACTTATTGGTAATGTCACAAGAAAAACAATGGTGTGCTTGGTTTCAGCGTAATTTGATTCTTTCATGAGTTATTTACAAGTTTCTCTTTGTTCACAGCCATTGACATGTCGAAGAGGTTAACACGTGAGGAGCGGATCGAAATCATGTTGATATCTGGTAAATGCAGTAACTGGGTCATTGCAGCAGATTTCAATGCAAGACACCCTATGAGACAACCCATCTCCCATGGTACAGTTAGCAAACTGCTTGCTAAGTTTCGTGAAACTGGTTCAGTGTTGGATTTGCCAAAATGTGGACGCAAGAAAACTGTCACTGATTAAGAAACATCAGTGGCTGTCCTAGCTTCATTCAGCAAGCGCCCACAGCGTGTCAGGGTTCCTGGGTCGGTGACCCAGTATTTTCAGTTCACGTTCACTGTTTATCTTCTGCCTGTTCCACTTCCTGTTTTATTGTGTTAGCCTTGGTCCATGTGCATTATGTTCCGTCCTCTTCCCGTTTATCATTAGTTCATTATGTTCAGCTGTGTACTCACCAGGTTCTAATCTCTCATCACTCAGCCTGTGTATTTATGTCCCTCAGTTCAACCAGTCCAATGTCGTGTCATTGATGTTATTGTGATGTTGTCTCTCCGTCTGTATGTTCCGTTAGTCAGTCAGTGCTTCAGTCAGTCGTCCAGCCAGCCATTTTCTCCCTTTGTTCTGTTCATCCACTCCTTATAATAAATCGTCACCTACCTGCGAGTCCTGCGTTTGGGTTCCTTCTTCCTCGCCTCCACCCAACCGCTGACAGAATGACACGACCCGTGCCACGAAGACACGTTTGGAACCCAGCGGACTCGGACCTCTACGAGCGGCAGGAGGTAGCGCTCTCCTTGTGGGCGGCACAACGGCTACGCCTCCCACCTCGGCTCAACGGAGGCTACCGCGCCAGAGGCTCTGCTGTTTTCCCCGGCCGCTTCCGCTTCCCAGAGAAAGCGGCGCACACGCCGCCATAGAACGGACTACTTTCAGCCACTCCCGATGGTGAGCTCCAGTGACTGTTTTTCGCACTCACCATCTGATTATTCACTTAAAACGCACAATAAACCCATCTCTCATTCATGGGATGTTTCCCTCCTGGAGGATTCTGTGGACTGGGAAGATTTGTTCTGCTCTGCTCCCCCAAAGACTGTAAATAGTGGTGGCAGAAAAATCAGAACAATCTCCAATAAACCTGCCAGTAACACACACACCGTCACTATTTCCACACCCAGTATTCAGCCATTTCCCACCAGCACAGGGCCCAGTCTACGCCCACACCAGTGCCAGCTCCCAGGAGGAGGGCAGCTGCGACCCGGTCTACCTCCACACCCGCTTCTGTTTCTCAGGTGGGGGTGACTGGTGTCCAGCCACCTTCCGTGCCCGTCCCAGCGCCCAGGTTGAGGGCAACCAGAACCCAGCTTGACCTCCCTGGAGGCTTGGAGGAGCTAACCGGTCCACCTGCTACTTCACCACTTCATCCACCTCCTGACCCAGCCTTTCACGCCCTCGCACTATCCCTAGTTAGATTAGCTGAACTGTCCCCTGCCCAGGCACCAGCCTTACGAGCCCAAGCCGTAATTTTATCTCCGTCACTAGCTCAATCTGTAGCTCAGCCAGCAGCCACGCCTGCCTCTGTTCCTCCCTTAGCATCTCCACTCCAGTCAGTTCCCTCACCTGCTGTTCAGCTTTCCCTCCAGTCAGTTCCCTCACCTGCTGTTCAGCTTTCCCTCCAGTCAGTTCCCTCACCTGCTGTTCAGCTTTCCCTCCAGTCAGTTCCCTCACCTGCTGTCCAGTCCCCTCCTGTCCTCCAGTCACCTCCTGTAGCTCAGTCCCCTCCTGTCCTCCAGTCACCTCCTGTAGCTCAGTCCCCTGTCCAGTCAGTCCAGTCGCTTCGCTCCTCAGCCAGGGGCCTCCGCGCCCGCTGGCCCGGCCGCTCCTCAGCCAGAGGCCTCCGCGCCTACTGGCCCGGCCGCTCCCCAGCCAGAGGCCTCCGCGCCTACTGGCCCGGCCGCTCCCCAGCCAGAGGCCTCCGCGCCTACTGGCCGGCCGCTCCCCAGCCAGAGGCCTCCGCGCCTACTGGCCCGGCCTGTCTCCAGCCAGAGGCCTCCGCACCTACTGGCCCGGCCTGTCTCCAGCCAGAGGCCTCCGCGCCTGCTTCGCCTGGTCAGGCCTCTGCCTCAGCTGCACCCACGCCCGGTCCGGCCTCTGCCTCAGCTGCACCCACGCCCGGTCCGGCCTCTGCCTCAGCTGCACCCACGCCCGGTCCGGCCTCTGCATCGCCTTCAACGTCGCCCGGGCTGGCGTCGGCCTCTGCTTCTGCTCCGCCTGGTCCGGCTCCAGAGTCTTCGTCCTCGTCTGGCCCAGCCTCAGAGTCTTCGTCCTCGTCTGGCCCAGCCCCAGAGTCTTCGTCCTCGTCTGGCCCAGCCCCAGAGTCTTCGGCTTTTGTTTCGCCTGCTGCAGCTCCAGCCTGTGCTTCGCCTGGTCCGGCCCCGCCGTCGCCTGGTCCGGCCCCGTCGTTGCCTGGTCCGGCCTCGTCTGGTCCTGTGCCCACCAGGCCATGGCCAGCACGCCTAACACTGGAGAGCCGCCGCTGCCTTCCGCGCGGTCGGCCCCCTGAACTGCTCCGTCGTCTCCTTCGCCGCCGCCGTTGCCTTCCGCACGGCCGGCCC